TGATACCAAGGGCTCAAGTAGAAAGCAAATGTTTAGAGAATGATGAGGGCAACAAATGTATAAATGTGCTTGACACACACTGGATGCATGTATGGTTTGTGATAAGAGTTGTATAAGCCTCCAAGAAAATGATTTAAAAAAGAAAAAAGACAAACAATACAGAAAAGATCCAAGTGGATGTCGGATGAGACTTGAAATTTTTGTTGTTTTTTATTATTTTATTTTTCAAAACCATTTTTGGGAGTTAACACAGATAACATATCAATCCATGTTTCAACCACATCAAGCAGTGTTATACAACTGCTACTACAATAAGTTTCAAAACATTGTTTTCCTTTTTGAACTCCGTGACAATCCCTTTTACCACCTGCCCCCTTCAGACTCTGAAATATGCTTTTGAATGTACAGTAGTATGTCAGTCCAGGTTGACTAGAGAAACAAATCGAGGAACACTCACATATTTTTAAGAAAGAACTTTATATCAAAGAGTTATTGTATATTAAGAAAACATCCCCATCTAGTTTAAATCAAGTCCATAAGTCCGATACTAGTCCATAAATCTCTCCTCATACTCACACAGCACATACAATGATGCAAAATGCAAGAAGATCACAGGCCAGTTGGGGCAAAGTCTTGTGGATCCAGTGGCAGCTTCCAGCATCTCCAGAGCTGGTGGCTCCGCATGGCTTGTCAACAGGAGGATGAAGGGAGAGAGAGAGAGTAAGTTCCAAGAATCATCATGAGAAGTCCATGCACACAAAGAGGCATCATCAGGCTGTGACCTGATTGACAGGCTAGACTCCACTCTTATACGTATTTATCAAGTTGACGTGAAATTATGTAACTACCACAAGTAGCTAAAGGGAATGGAAGAATTGATGAAGTAGAAGAGTTGAACTGATGATCTCAAAGGATGGCTTGAGAAAACAAAGTATCATAATGAAACGTGCAAAGACCTAAACTTACAAAATCAAGAGAATAACCTCGACATTTCTCAAGCTGAAAGATTTGAAGGAAAAGAGAAAGATTTATGTTATAATATTGAAGGATTCATAGTGTGTGCTGCAAGTACTCACTTGTCTATGCCAGGCAATTTGGATCACTGCTGTCTGGTCAAGTGACTGAAAAAAATCTACATTTGTGCCCATTTGAAAGAAAGATAACCCATGGGATGTGGATTAACAAAAAAATTTTTTTAACTTTAAAAAATCTTAATTAAAGGTTAGTTTTATCATGATCATGTGA